AGTCTTGTGAATTACTGACCTAGCAAAGAGGCCTGAGGGAAGTCACTATTCTCTCTCGTCCCTTGCCACCCACCATGTTAGGATTCAGAGAAGTCCCATCTATGAAGAATGAGCCTTCACCACATACTGAATCTTCTGGTACCTTGATCTTTCCCTTCACAGTCTCCAGAATCATGGACAATGTTTACAAATGTTTACAAATAAGCTGCCTTGCCATAGTATCTCAGAGGGATGGAGACAACCCACTTGATTTGGTGTCTGAAGCAATGCAGCGGTTAAAGTTTATGAGAGGAGACCCATTGCTGCGGTTTATGCAACCTTCCTTCAGCCATTCATTTTCTCCACCATGCTGGGTCACAGAAGGGGATAAAGGACGCACATCAAGGGTGTAGACCATTAGTCATTCATCATTCATCACTCTGCAAATATTTATAAGGCACTTCCTACCTACTGATGAACCAGATGCAGATTACTATATGGCTATATGGAAACACAGAAGACCTTTCTGTATTCAGCTGTGTAGGCTTAGCCTCATTTGGGGGCTACCTTCACAATAGTTCTGTGGGAAACTGGTGATGAATTCCAGGGAGATGGTACCCAGAATGTCTTTGGGGACTCCTCTTTTAGAATTACCTTAAGATTCAATTCATAATCCAGAGAAAGAAGTTTCAGTACTTTTAAATTAGTTTTCTTTTTGTATTTTATAGTTTACTTTATCAATAATGATACACCCACACACACACTTATTCATGCACACACACCATACTCATTTACATAGATACAATTTCACCATATAGTGTCACGAACTATGAAAACCCAAAATCAGTCCACTTTTTAGATACCTCAAGAGCATGGGGTTTAGCAATGAACATTTCTCAGTCTACTGGGCCTGTCTATGCAACCATAGCCAAAGATCCAACTTTTTCAAGTCTCAATTTACAATAAATATGACAATAAAGCTTTTGGCACTTCCCTGGGGACTAGAGTTAATATCCTTTGAGGTCCAGTGCCGCACCCAGCACAAAGACGAACGCAGCATTTGATTCTATGATTCTGAACCCCCGGAGGAAGAGACTGAAGAATTTTGTGAACATTTTGTGCACTTTCAGCAGGTATGCTCCAGAGTGCTGGCTCTTGGATGCCGGAGAGCAACTGTGCATGCTGGTAAAGCCCAGCAGTGGGCAGCACAGCATGAACCTTGTTCTCTTACCAAGACCATCTAACTCAAGGGTTCTCCCCATATAGTGGGAGTGGGCAGAAGCAGGAGGGACTGAGAATCGTGTAGTGGTTCTAAAATTTCCTAATGCTGCGACCCTTTAATGCAGTTCCTCATGTCGTGGTGACCCCAACCATAACATTATTTTCGTTGCTACTTCATAACTGTAATGCTTCTACTGTGATGTATCATAGTATGTTTTTTTCGGTGATAGAGGTTTGTAAAAAGGTTGCAACCTACAGGTTGAGACCAGCTGCCCCAGAGGGAGTAGTGGAAGCCAGTACCAGTCCCTGGATGCAGCAAGCAGAGCTGTTAAGGACCTCCAGGTTCTATGACTGCCATAAGATCTGGCCTAAAGGATTAAGCATCCCAGGCTCCCCACCATCACATGTTCTGCAGCACCAGGGGTCGAACCCAGTACCTAAGGACTCGTGTGCAATAAGTTCCTACCACTGAGCTATATATCCCGAGCTAGACCTCTTTTTACTTTTGCACTTTGAGATAGGGTCTCGCTAAGTTGCCGGAAAAAGACTCTGACCTCAGTCTGCAGCCCAGGCTTGAACTTGTGGTCTCCTGCATCAGCTTCCTGAAGAGCTGCGATTATGGGGCTGTGCCAACAGGCCTGGCTCTCCACCACCCCTGCCATAGCCCAGTTTGGCCTTGTTCAGTAGGCGTTGGACAGTGACTAAGGCTGCTGGCAGAAGGGTATGCCCACTTCTCATGCAGCTCTCTTTTTCCTCTGCCCTGGAGCCCATGACCCCCTGCCAAGCACAGAAACTACATATAGGAAGTTCTTCAGTCATTTGGAGTCCCCATGGACTGGCTCTGTTCCTTATTAGCCATGTGGCCTTGGGCAAGTCATTCAACCGTTCTTGGTGCCCACCTTAGAAAGCCAAAGGGTTACAAGGAGAATTCAGTGAAATGGAAAAGCACGTGGAGCTTCCTGCTGGGTGCCTGGCACCTGCAATTGATTAGAGTGGTCCTATGGAATGTCAGGGCTGGAAGGGGCTCTAGAGATGACCTCATCCTGGTGTCTGATTTCACAGGCAGGGTGAACTGAGCAAAAGGGAAGGAACTGACTTGCCCAAGGTCACATAGTAAAACCTTGGTGATACTGAATCTAGCACCTTGAGTTTATTTTTGAAATCAAAGGTCGAAACCTGTCATGAGACCTGCTTGCTCTTCCTGCAAGCTGAGCAGTTACCAGCTTTAGGCTCCCTCTGTCCTCCACAAGTCCAATTTAAAGTATCTTTCTCTACTGAGCAAGCAAAAATACATATTTCTACCAAGAAAAAAAGCCATACATAAAATACTTCAAAACATTAAAATTAAAACTTAAAAAAAAAAACCTCAAGCCTTAGCATCAAAAAGTTTAGTCTTTTAAGCTTTTTTCCTCATCTTCTTCGCTCACTGCCCACCCCTGATTCTGTAATAACAGCACTGCTTCGAGGGAAGAAAAAGTCCTGATGCACAGAACTGATATTTCAGTACAATAACACATCACAGATGTTCCTATCAAACTGGGCACGCATGTATGCACACCATTTTACTGAGAAAGCAGTTACATTGCTGATTGTCAGGTTGAGGGTCCCGACTGACCTCTGCCCAGGTTCTGATTGCTACTTTTTCCAGTCAGCCTGCTGCTGCCCAGAAGGATGAAGGAGCAGTTTCATCACCTCCCTCCAAAATGCTATCAGGACAAATTGGTGCCGTCAGGCTCTCAGGCAGGTGGTGAAGGGTGTGCAGATTAGGGAATGAGAGGACTCCTGTTTTCTTTTGCCTGAGCCTTGTTTTCTACAGCCCTTTCAAGAAGCTGGACCCAAGAACAATTTGAAGAGCGGGCCCAGGCTGGTGGTGGGGTGGGAGTGTTTTTGCAACAGAAATTGGAGTCTGTTTGATCTTCAAACATGGGCTTTGGAGACTGTCAGCGGGCTCCTTGCTGGCCGATGAACGGCTCGCAGTAACTTTTCCTAAAACATAAGCTCGCACACTCTGCAGCAAATGTTTTCAACCCACCAGAGCCGTCATTTGGTTGAACAGCAGTGTTTCCAGACTCCCGAAGAAAGATAGTTTTGTTGTTTTAAGAGAGACAGATTAAAGCCAGGGACTGTTTAACCAGAAAGCTCCAGGGCTCCCTTCAGCCCTTGTCAGGTTCCTCTCTGGTTGATACAAAAAGGGTGTCAAGCGTGATAGTGGATCCCCCCCACCTCCCAAAACTAGAATAGAGATCTATGGAGGCTGGACATAAGGTATATGGGCAGAGAAGCCGCCCACAAAACTGCCTCCAAAATGAGATGGGCGTGCGGTGAGTGCTGGGGGCCCCTGGACCACTGATAATATCAGCTCACGAGGCTGGCAAGGGGAAAATCACTTCAGAAGAGGAGAGCCGCTCTGTTCAGAGGGCTCCGCGCTGGGGCAGAGAATACACAGGATTTTCCCCGTGGAGATGGAGGCAGGCGTAGTCAGAACCCTGCGGGGCGTGACTAACTGCCCCAATATTCCTGCCACCGGGCCCTCTGGGTAAGGACTCCACAATTATGGGAGAGCCAGCAGGAGAACTCACAAACCCGCCTTTCATTTGGCCGGCAAATCAATCTGGCTTCTTACCTCCCTGGGGACAATATTGCATTTCCCCTGGAAAAACAAAGGCCAGAGATCTCGGAAGGGGGATCAGCTTCAGCAGCCGTTTCCCTGGTGAGGAGCTTGCAACATCTCTGGAGCAATTGGGTCTGATCCCAGGGATAGAGTCTGGGATCTAGTCATCTTATGAGTCTATCTCCTTAATGATGAGCACACACGCCTTTGAGGCCACATTTCACTTAGGGCATCAACCCAGACCCTGTATTGGGGCCTCCTTGTGGTATCCACAAGTCAGGAGTTCCCACCCTGAGTTGACAGCTCTGTTCTCTAGGCACAGATGTGAACTTACTGTTCCCAGGGCCTCAGAGTTGAGTTTGGGACCAGTGAGTTGCGAATGACCTCTGTCCATAGAGACAGGCGGTTAAAGACTTTTTGCTGGGTCAGGTCTCTGACAGCCAGAGACTTTAAAGCTCTTAAGCCCCTCCCTTTTCCCCTACTCCCTAGGTTCAGAAATCAGAACTGTCGATCTTAATTAAGCAAACACACTTCTATGAAATTATTACCCCCAAAACTCTCCTTTGCCCACTGGATGCTCCCCCAGTCTTAAGGAGGCAGCTCCAGAGTAGCAGACCTCAGCGAAGGCCCCAGGGAACTGTGAAGAACTTGGCATCAACCAGCAGACCTGTGCTGGTGGAGGCCATGCCCACAAGGCCTTCCCTGCCAGCACAGCCTAGGCACCATGCCCTCCACCTCTGTGCTGTTTCTATACAGACCCACTCACAGGTGAGTGTCCAAACAAGCTCAGGACAGCCTTGAGCTCCAAGTTCTCAGGGCCTGGGAAGCCTCCTGCAAACGGGCATCTCCCTCTTTCTGTTTTGTATCACTCTGATGCTCCCGGGGAAATTCTTTCTGCTCAGGCAAGCACAGCAGGTGGAGAGTGGATATCCCCAACAGGGAACCACTGGAATGGAAAGAAACACCCAAACTTTGGCACGTAGTAGTTTCCCCTGACCCCAACAAAGCAGCCCAGTGCTGTCCCAGAGCCAGAGAGATGCTTTTGCTTGGGGCAGAAAGCGGAGGGTGGGGGCTGGGGGGATGGGACCTGGCTCTGGTTCTCTGCTGGAACATGACAAAGATCAGAGACCAGGACCAAGACACTGTGCGGCTGGGGCTGCTGGCTAGGCTGGCATGTGGGTGTTCCTACCTGGGAGAAGTTGAGCCCATTGAGAGGATGGCACTGCTCCTCAACCCGCTCCACAGCCCCAGTGCTCTTCTTCATCTTCTCAGCCTGCTGGGCCAGGTAGAGGTCCAGCACAGGCACGCCTCGGGAGCGCACGTCCGTCTCCGTGAGCGAGTTCACCATCAGCATCACCCACACTGGCCTCTTACGCTCCCAGTTGCCAGCAATGGCATTAAACAGGTAGTCAGCATACAGCCCTTTGCCGCGCTGGGCTGGTGTCATCCATGAGGGCATCATCAGCTTCACGTAGTCCAGGTGGCGCTTCAGGCGCCAGTAGAGCTCTCTTGGCAGCACGTCCTGCAGGTTCTCCCCATGGGGCAGCAGCTGGCAGCTGGCCAGGGCCGAGATGGTGTAGGGATCTGTCAGATCCAGCTCAAAGTAGACGCGGGTGCTGGCCTGGAAGGCTGCTTTGGAATTATCAGGGATGAAGTCCCAGACTCGGGTATATGGAACGTGAATGGTGCCAAACAAATAGGCTGGGGGATGGCGCCGAATAGTCCATAGGAAGGAGTTCATGTCCCTCTGCTACAAGGAGAAAGGAGAGACAGATCAGTGAGGCCAAAGGGAGCAAGAGCAGAGCCAGGCTTGGCACAGAGACGTGGCAGGGGTAGATGGGGCCAGAAGGCAGAGGCCCACTGGCAAGGGCTTTGAAAGCTAAAAGCTCCACACTCAAATGCTATCTTAATTGAATAATTGGCAGAGTACATCATATCACTTCCCAAAGACTCAGTTTCCTCTTCTGTAAAATGGGGGTGAGGATGGAAGTTATTGGCAGGCTTGAGAAACAGAACACACATATCTGAAGCCCTCAGAGTGGTGCCAGGCACAGAGGAAGTGGGCAATGAAGGCAGGCTCTCTTTATGACTAGCTTTCACTGTGAAAGCCAAGGACTGCCACACCACCTGAGAACATTCATGCTTGGCCAAGGCAAACCTTCACCAGTAGTGTTTCATGTAGAGGGTGGGGAGAGGGGGGACCAAGAGTCCTGCTCTGGCAAGAGAAGAGGAAGTCATATAACTTTTAAATACAGCCATTAGAAGACACATGCCAAGAGCACTCTGAAAGCAGAACACCTATTAAAAATAGCACACCTATTGCAACAGTTACTTCCCATTCATCCGGGTGGGTAAGGTTTTCTTCTTGGAGGGCAGGTCTGGGGTGTTAGCTACTTTGCGCCACTCGCTTAGACCATAGATGAGAAAGTGTTTTAAAACCTTGCAAAGCCAAATCAAGTCTCAATTTTTCGAAGGTTTCGAAGGAGAGGATACCATAGAATTAACCCCGAGAAATGTACCTATTCTGGGTGCTTCCCAGACTTCCCCACCAAAAAGGCCTACCTGGTTCTCTATCTCTAGGTCTGTCTTTTTCTGTGACCTAGAATTGCACGAGGGTCGTGTGCCTCGAGTAGGGGCACAAATACCAGGGCTTTTTTTCCCCCAGTACCGATTAAGATTTAGAAAGAGACAGGAGTTAGGGGGCTATCATTTCTCTCAGGCAAAGTCGTTTTCCATCTAGAAAAGTCTCCGGAGTAAACAGTGACCACTTACAAACTTTAGGTCAAGTCAACATTTTTCTACCTAATTCTGACATAAATGCGAAGTATTTATTATGGGTGGTGGAAGCAGCACCTTGCTTTACCAACAAGATTTGTAAATCGGAATGCACACTAGACAGTGCATACCAGCTAGCCAGCTCGCTTTTTCTACACAAGGCAGGCTGCGTGCTGAGCACCTTGCCCATGGCCAACCTCTGCCCTGCTACTAGGGCAGCACAGGAAGATCCTGCAATAATGTTCTGGTCTCCCGGCCTCCAGTTCAGAGTGGTTACCAGTGTATTAATCTCTATTTGAAGAGAAGGGAATTAGGATTAGAAAATCATGAGATTCTGGGCTTGGAGAGGAAAACTGGGGGAAGCAGTAACTACTTGACCCCCTCAGGGAAATATTAGACAAGCATGTTCATTCTGTCATTTCCGTTTCTCTCCTCTGAACTCTTATCCCTTTTCAGGAAACAGGGGCATTTGGGACAATAGGTGCTGGGTGGGGACTGGGGTACAGAGGGAGAACACGGGGGGGGGGGACCTATGGTCAGAAGGAAGGGCAGAGAGCAAGGGGGAAGCCTGGGCAGGGGCACTGTTGTGAATGAAACAGCAAAAGGGCTGGTAGAGTCTAGAGACGGGCAAGGGGTGTTGGAAAGAAGTCAGAAGCAGGCGGAAAGAGACCAAAGGGTAAAGGCAAGATAAAAGACAGGAGAGTTGGAAGCGGGCACAGAAAGGGGAAAACGTCCAACCAAGACCAAAAGTCTAGAGGAAACTGTCCGCGAGTGAAGAAGGAACCATCTGGGCTGGGCTGGGCTCAGAGCTGGAGCCCTAGAGGACAGATGCTAGGGAAGAGAGCCCGGGCTGTGCCCAGAGGGCGGAGGTGGAGCGAGTGGGCTAAAGAAGGCAGGTCCCAAACCATTGCCCCTTGGGCTAGAGTGCCCAGGCAGGCGGGAGAGTGGCTGGGCTGGCGCTCGCTCACCGATCCGGGCGGCCGGCACTGTCCTCCGTCAGGGGGTTGCGGGCGGGCGCGGGCGGTGGTGAGGAGGGCGGCAAGCAGCGGCCCCGCCAGGGCGGCGTGCATCCTGCCCGGGCCCGCGGGATGCGGGGGACCCTCCTGGGCAGCGCCCCCTCAGCAGGGCGGGGAGCCCCCAGCTGGGCACCGAGGATCTTCTGGAGCACAGGGCTCCAGGCGCGAGATGCTGGGAGCCCGCTGGGGCGTGGCTGGATGTCCCTGTCGGACCTGGGGGTCCCTCTGGGGCGGGGCTCCGTCTGTTGGAAGAGGGGGATCCTCTGAGGTGGGGCGGGGCCCCTCACCAGGGCGCGCAGCCGGGTTGGCCAAGCCCCGGAATTCTGCGAGCGCGCAGGGGTCCTGGAGCGCGTGGCGTTCGGGGAGCCGCGTCAGGGTCCAGGGGTACGCGGGGCTCCTGGGGCAATCCCCAGATCCCGGGGTGAGCGGGGGATCTCGGGTTATGCTGGGCACCCGGGGCGCGCAAGGGTCCCAGGGGTGCGCGGCGCTCCAGGGGGCGCGCAGTGGGACAAGTGCGGCTGAGGGCGCGGCGGGGCGGGGGTCGGCTCTGAGGTGCCCGGCTGCCCCTGAGCCTGGCTCAGAGGGGCGGCGGGCGGCCGCGCGGCCGCTGCCCGGGCTCCGCCATGCTGCTCCGCGGCCGGGAGGGAGGGAGAGAGGAGGGCGGGAGAGCGGCGCGGAGCCGGGCCGGGCGGGGGGCTGGGGCCGCCGGGCGGGGGAGGGGAGGACCCGGAGCGGGGGGCGGGGGGCCGGGGCCGCGGCGGGCCGGGCCGGGCCGCAGGGAGTCGGAGCGAGCTCGGCGCCCGGGCGCGGCGAGGCGGGGTCTGCCGGGCATGGCAGGCGCTCGCTGGCTCCGCGCTCGCTCTCTCGCTCGCTCCCTCGCACGCGCGCGGAGGGAGGCAAAGCCCGCAGCAGCCACTTCCCAACTTTCCAAACTTCCCAGCGCAACTTTTTCCTCTCCTCCCCTGCCTGCGCCTCCCCCTCCTCCCTCTCCTTTCCCTTCGCCAGCTCCGCGCTGAGTTGTAGCTCCAAAGCGCCACCGCCAGAGGGCGTCCGTCCTGATGCTCTGCTCAGTGGACCGCATGCTAAGAGGTGAAAGTCCAATGGTCAGTCAATGACAAATTTGGGGACATGGGCCAGCGTCACCAAGCACATCCGTGAGTCTTGTAAAGAATAAGCAGCCAACAGGACAGGATTTGGTATGTCGAAGAATGAGGTGGTCTCTGGAGATCCAGGGAAGGTAGTATTTACTTACAGTTTTGTGCATGCTACTGTGCCTAACACTGGCATGCATTTTCCTAGGATCTCTGCAAATGCTCTCTGCATTTAAAATAAAGCATGCTCAAAGAACGTACAATATTTATCATCAGAATTCCTTGGAAACTTCCATTTAGTCAGTCGTTCTCGGGTCTAGTTCCCTGGGTCCACATAAAATCCCCGTGTATGGCTGTGGAAGGGTAAGAATTCATGTCCATTTTTTATGCTATAGGAATTGAAAAAGTTCTTAAAAATCAAACCTCTTCTGTTCCCTGGAGACAAAGGAGGCCTTAACGATGTCGTTGGTTGAAAACTTTCTGTCACTAGGCGGTGGTTGCACAAGCATTTAATTCCAGCACTCTGGAGGCGGAGGCAGGCAGATCTCTGAGTTTTGGGTCAATCTGGTCTACAGAGTGAGGACAGCAAGGGCTAAACCCTGTCTTGAAACCAAATCCAAACCAAACCAAAATAAAAAACAAAAATGTAAACCATGAAACCCATCTCATCACAGCAAATGGGGAGAGTGAATCAGGGCACAACACACACACACACACACACACACACACCTCATTTGTTAAACAAGATAAGCACAATATCCTGGCAGCTGATGTTGAAGGACAAATTAGGTGATATTATCAGAAGTCTACAGCTGACAGACAAGGTCAGATATGCAAATAGACAATTAAAATACAGTCATACCAGAAGCCCAAAGAAAGGCAGGTAGAGGAAGGGGTCCTAAGGCAGTTGGAGACAGGGCAGAGACCTTGGAGGTGATCATGAATAAACAGTCAGCAGTAGCTAATAGAAGGAAGTGAAGCAGTTGGAGCAGCCAGTGCCAAGGTGTGAAAATGAGAGCAAAGGGCCTTCAAGGGATTGCCCACAGAAGGCAGGTGGCAGGAGTTGAAGCTCTTTCTTCATGCCAGGCCTGGGAGCACACCTTTGTATATATACAGTCGTGAGAAGATACTCCACGATTTGAAACAGAAGGTGGCTAGCGCACACCTCTCCTTACAGGGTACATGGGTTGAGGGAACCAAGTGGAGGCAGGGCAGGTAGTGGGAGCCAAGGCCTGATTATAAGCCTCTTGACTTCCAGCTGAGGGCTCTCCTTACCTCTTCTGCCACACTCAAGCCTCGGGGCACTTTGAGCAGCTGGAGAAAAGAGTCTTAGAGTTTGAATGAGGAAGAACAGCCTGCCTCTGTGAACGAGACCAGAAAGGAAAGAAGGACCAGACAGCAACAGCTTGAACCCCACTCGGCAGGCGAAGCTTCCATTTTCCCTTAGGCTGAAAATAAATACTTGTTGGCAGTTGCCAACAGTGCAAACTACTAGGTACCTGCCGCAATTTATTCTGCTCATCGTCTTTGTCACACCTACCTGGTGACAGATGTTGAGCCGCCCGGAGTGCTCAGAAAACAGGGCACCAAGGCACAGTGTAGCAGCTCTGTGTCCCATAGACAGAGCTCCGAGAACTGCAGCTGAGAGAGAAGTCCATGAACGATACTATGGCAGCTCAGGCCCCCCAACTCCTGCCCAGCTACCCATCTCCTTCGTAAGAACAGTGAGTTGGTTAGAGAGAGAGAAGTAAGGATATGGTCTTGGCTGGAGAATTGAAAGATGGCACACTAGGAAATTAAAAAAAAAAAAAAGACCAGACCAAGTTTAAAGTGATGGTATGTGTGACTACGTGTTGGTGGTTTTTAAAAGTCTTCCTTTCTGTATTTCTAATGAAAATTTTCTCATATCTTTTCCTCAAAATGATAAAGGTTCCGGGAGGCAATTGTTAGAGGTCCAACTTCCTCCATTGAGGCCTCTCCTAGGGCCGTAACTGAGCGAGGGCAGTGCACATCTTGGAGCCTGGCTTTCTCCAGCTCTTCCTGACCTCACTGTTTTTCGGTGAATCGATGTATGGGATAAGGCCTTAGGCTCGTCACCTGTCTTGCAATGGTGTTGTTAATGAGACACAAGAGCAAATACATTTGTCAATCCAAGAGAACTGAAAATATATAGCAGTATAAATCTCTGCATCCCACTGTGCTCTTCACAATAGCCAGAAGGTGGAAACAGCTCAGCTAACTGTCCATCAGCTAGCGAATGGAGCGCCAGCTGTGGCGTGTCAAGACATCAGGCTATGTAGCTTAAAGACATATCCTTCTTAAAAAATGAGGCATAGGGAGCTGGAGAGATGGCTCAGGGGTTAAGAGGACTGGCTGCTCTTCTGGAGGACCTGGGTTCAATTCCCAGCACCCACATGACAGTTCACAACTGTCTATAACTCCAGTTCCAGAGACCTGATACCCTTGCATAGACATACATGCAGGCAAAACACCAGTGCCTATAAAAATAAATAAATCTTTTTAAAAGTGAGGCATACTCAGGATAGAATATTTCTTGGCTTCTGAGAGGACAGAAGGGAACATGCAGACAGAGGCAGAATGCAGGATAGTGATCACCCAGATCTAAGAGGAATAAGGAGATGGAGGGACCATAACAAAGGGGTATTGGGTTTCTTTGGGGAGGGCTGGAAACATCTCAAATGGTGGTGGTGTCCCAGCTTTGAGTAAACTTAAAGAAAAAAAAAACCTTTAAATAGATATGGCTCCTGAAGCTGTTACCCAGCGCAATAAACAAGAACATGGGTTTCAAGTTATTTTATTTTTATTTATGTGTGAGTCTCTGTGTGTCTGCCACATATGTGTGGATGCCCATGAAGGTCATGAGAGAGTGTTGCATCCCCTGGTGCTGGAGTTTGAGGTGATTAAGAGCCACCTGAGGTGGATGTTAGGGCTGCTCTCGGGTTCTCTGCCAGAGCAGAGGGTGCTGTCTTCGCCGTAGGGCCACTTCTCCAGCTCAGTTTCAGCATTTTAAAGCATTTCCTTCCTCCTATTTGGCCTTGTGAGATAAGCCCTGGGTGGTGTTAAGTCCTAAATCTTAGGGACTAGAACACTTGGGAAGTTTCCTCATCCTCTCTGGACGTGACAGTGAACTGAGGTGACCCAACATAAACCAGCTGGCGGAGTGACTAACCAACCATTAAAAGTCCCTGTACCCAACACTAAAGCTCCTCCTTGAAAGCCATTGCTGGTGGAGGGCATTTAGGCAAGATGAGAAAGGGCTCTGAGCTCAAGGGGGGCAGTGGCTGCAGACTCTAGACTGCCCTGCCTGGGGCACATCCGGACCACTTTTCTTTTATTGCATCTTAATTAAGTTGTTCAATCAGGTTGGTACCAGGAATCTGTAGGCTGTAACAGCAGGGGCAGGAGCAGAAGCCTTGTAGCGTAACTAAACCAACAAAGTTGGCCTCAGGATCCCTGCTCTGTTGAAGGGTGTCCCTTCCAGGGTAAGAGATGAGGGACTTAGCTGCTGGCTCAAAGGAGGAGCATTGCTCTGGGCTGTGGGCCACCGGCCACACCAGTCTTCTTTAATGGGCATGATCTGCCTTCTGGCTCTGACTTCTATAGCCAGCTTGCTTCCCCTGGCCCCAAGCTCTGTGTCCTCTACCCCTGTCTCCCTTGGAAGGTAATCCTTGATGGATGGAGAACAGGATTGCTTCTGGGATTGGGGAGAAAGGAAGGGGACTGAAGAATCAGGCAAAGAAAGGCAATGTTGAAGACAGTCTAGAGTGAGAGAGAGCACCTGAAAAAATTGCAGACACCAAAATGACAGAAGTATTCTGTCATTCAAGGAGAAAAAGAGGCCAGTGGCCACTAAAGAATAGTAAGGGATCAGGGTTGCTAAGTAATAGGGTGACATTCCTTAAAGACAATGCTATGGCATGCTATGGCGGCACAGTCCAGTGGGAACATCTTGGGTGCAGAGGAATCAGCCCCAGGTTTAGTCCTCAGGAAATTAGCCACCCAGTGGACAGGACAGAGATATAAACAAATGGAGCTCGGGGAAAGAAATAGAAGGGCAAACAAGGCAGCCTTAGGAGAGAGAACATCACATTGGCAAAGATCTTTGCCAAAAAGGTGATGATGTTGGGGTAAGACATCTCCTTCTCAAGTCTGAGTCTTCTTTTTGTTGTTCGTTTTTAGACCTACTGAGTCCAATTAGAGTTACTTAAAAGACTCGCTTAAGATCGTGTCAGTGGAAATCAGTCTTGAAAAAGTGAGCTGGAAGCTGGGTGAGGTGGTGCATGGCCACAATCTCAGCACTTTCAAGGTGGAGGTCAAGGGTCAGGGATTCAAGGTCATGTTCAACTACTTGAATTTAAGAGACGCTGCTTTTAAACAAAGAAAGGTGCAGGAACCTGGAAT